TGGAGCTCAGCTACTTAGTCACCTGTATTCCTTGCCGCAGTATTACAAAGCACAGGGCAGCATTTTTCATGCAGCGCCCATCAGTCCAGGAAAATAAATTGGATCCAGAAACTCTACTTGTTGAGGAGATCCACAGGAAACCCACTATAGGGGAAAACCTTCCATGCACTGCACATCAACTGGAAGCCGTCATGTATGAGGCTAAGGATGTGCAGTGTGTGGCAGGGGCTGCAGTGTGCTGTTATAATTGTGTTATGCATTGACCCTATGTAGAGGCTGTGTTAGTGCCGACTGATCATTCAAAGTTAGAGGAATACTGCTTTTTAAAGTGGTTGTGGTTGAATGCAAGGTGCCCAGCAGGTACATTGTGATGTATAGAGTGCAGGATCAGGATGCATGCTGGGATATACTCAGTTGATACCAAGTGATAGAACTGCAATGGGCACTGATTGGCACCTGGCAAAGTTTTGTTTGGGTTTAGTGTATGTTATAGGGATTTATGACTTCATTTTCTCGGTGGTTGGTGATGCAAGAAAAGCGTTATAGGCTGCATTAATTAATCAAAGTAGTTCATTTGGTTTTACTCCAATACTCCTTGTTTGACTGAATTCCCCCTATAGCATATGCATACTACATACATCGGGCAGCACTGTTCATTCTACGACCTACTGCACGGTGAAGGAAACCTGGCTCTAACTAACATTGCACCTCACCTCAGTTTACTTCACCCAAATTACTCCCCATATCCTGACACACCATATGCCACTCCTGGCACCGTGCCCTCTCGCCAGTCATTAGCAGAGTACACTCTGTGTGAGCTTTGTCAAATCCCACGGGAAGAGCTAGCACTGGAGAAAACACCCTGTGCCCCTCACTCCAATAACATGCTATGCCATGTAAACAACATGGATGAATGATTTACCTATCAGTAGGCCTGGCATAGCCCTGTGATTATTAACAATAACAATATATTTATATAATATGATTTACCTATCAGTAGGCCTGGCATAGCCCTGGCATAGCCCTGTGATTATTAACAATAACAATATATTCATATAATATGATTTACCTACCAGTAGGCTTGGCCTAGCCCTGTGATTATTAACAATAACAATATATTTATATAATATGATTTACTATCAGTAGGCCTGGCATTACCCTGTGATTATTAACAAAAACAATATATTTATATAATATGATTTACCTATTAGTAGGCCTGGCATAGCCCTGTGATTATTAACAAAAACAATATATTTATATAATATGATTTACCTATCAGTAGGCCTGGCATAGCCCTGTGATTATTAACAATAACAATTTATTTATATAATATGATTTACCTATCAGTAGGCCTGGCAAAGCCCTGTGATTATTAACAATAACAATATATTAATTTAATATGATTTACCTATCAGTAGGCCTGGCATTGCCCTCTGTGATTATTAACAATAACAATATATTTATATAATATGATTTACCTATCCGTAGACCTGGCATTGCCCTCTGTGATTATTAGATTAAACATAACGGAAAACATGGATAATCCAAACTGCATGGAATCCACGGTGTGTCGAGAGAACCCTATAGGGGGTAACCCTTGGAAATATAAGATACTAAAAGTGATCCCTGGCCAAAAAACGCCACAGGAACACAGAAAGAGTTCTCTGGGTGTTGTGATTACATAGAAATAAAAATAAAAAATCTCTTTATTGTAGGGTATAAATTCCCCAAAAATGTAAATAAAACTTAATAAAAAACTAACACACACTAGAGAGACTGAATGGAGAAAGGAGCCGAGATGAGAATAAAGTGATACTAACAGAGTATCATAACCAGAAAATCTTGGTGCACAATCTCTCTCCTAAAGATATGTAGCGATATGGGTAGGAACTATCCTGTATAGCAGGGTATAACAGTATCCAAATGCTCACCTAAACTGCTTGATTATTGATATAAAGTATATTTTTGGGGAATTTATACCCTACAATAAAGAGATTTTTTATTTTTATTTCTATGTAATCACAACACCCAGAGAACTCTTTCTGTGTTCCTGTGGCGCTCTGTGATTATTAGCAATAACAATATATTTATATAATATGATTTACCTATCCGTAGGCCTGGCATTGCCCTCTGTGATTATTAGCAATAACAATATATTTATATAATATGATTTACCTATCAGTAGGCCTGGCATAGCCCTGTGATTATAAACAATAACAATATATTTATATAATATGATTTACCTATCAGTAGGCCTGGCATAGCCCTGTGATTATTAACAATAACAATATATTTATATAATTTGATTTACCTATCAGTAGGCCTGGCATAGCCCTGTGATTATTAACAATAACAATATATTTATATAATATGATTTACTATCAGTAGGCCTGGCATTGCCCTGTGATTATAAACAATAACAATATATTTATATAATTTGATTTACCTATCAGTAGGCCTGGCATAGCCCTGTGATTATTAACAATAACAATATATTTATATAATATGATTTACTATCAGTAGGCCTGGCATTGCCCTGTGATTATAAACAATAACAATATATTTATATAATTTGATTTACCTATCAGTAGGCCTGGCATAGCCCTGTGATTATTAACAATAACAATATATTTATATAATATGATTTACTATCAGTAGGCCTGGCATTGCCCTGTGATTATAAACAATAACAATATATTTATATAATTTGATTTACCTATCAGTAGGCCTGGCATTGCCCTCTGTGATTATTAACAATAACAATATATTTATATAATATGATTTACTATCAGTAGGCCTGGCATTGCCCTGTGATTATAAACAATAACAATTTATTTATGTAATATGATTTACCTATCAGTAGGCCTGGCATTGCCCTGTGATAATTAACAATAACAATATATTTATATATAATATATAAATATTGCCAGCATAGGCTGATTTAGCATTCTGGGGGCTGTAATCCTACCAGTGGTGTGTTGTACATTACACCTTAACCTACCTGCATGTCCTAGTAATGCTATGTAAGACCACTTACCATCAAACCATGGACTGTAATGAGGGGTGCCATATATAGCAGGCTTACAGAGACACAATCCCTTCTTAACACTGATGGACAATTCAGGAAAAGTGCTTCCCTCACAACAAGCACTCTATATATGCTTTGATTAGTTAATCCTGAGGTATGTGAATGCTTTATACAGCAGGGAAGCACTTTTTATGTGTTGCACGTAAGCAGGCATGATGGACCTGGCAAAGCTAAACACAAAGTTACCTTTCACTAGTCATCTTCTAATAGCCTTTCCATGGTGACTTGTAGCCTACATAGTTGCTCTGGTGGTAGAAAGCACAGTGTGAATTGGGCGACCTTTCTGTATATTACCTGGCTAATCTCTGGGTAACCTTGACACACAGTGCATGCTGGTTAATCCATACACACTGCACATTATAATGGCTATTTCTGCTTATTACAGATTATGGCAAAAATAAATTACCCACACAATGCATTCTGTCAGTCTGCAATGAGAACGCGTTACATTGAATGTAGGGAGGGACCAGTCTGTATAAAGAGTTTCTCAAATCCTCATTTGTTGCATTTGCTACATTTTCATGTACTGTTTAAAATGTATCCAACAGATCCGGGCTCTGAAACTCTGCTCCCCCACCTTTCATTAACATAATGGGCTGCAGCATCTGGGGGTCTCGTTTTAGAGGGACTCACTATAGATCAGCTATGATTTTCTCGATACCTTTAACTCACAGCTGGTTATAAGATGAAATTGATGCAGCAATCACAGGATGCGACAATGCAATCGATGAATTAGTCAGAATGGAATCCCACATAAGCTGACATGATTGCGTACATTGATTCCCCTCCAGCAACGATCTACAGGGCAGAACCTTTCATTCACCGCCATACAGAGCGCGAGAGCAGATAGCCACAGGGCTTGTTTGTTAGAAATCCTTCTCTTAGTATTAAAATGAAACAATTATTGTAGTGATAACACTGGATCACAGGCTGTTACAAGGCGATAAATGAATTTTGTGTGAGTGTTCAATGTCCTGATGGCATCCATTGATATTATTAACCCATTCAGGACCAGAACCATCCATATTATATATATTTTTTTAATTGCAATCTGTACTGGTGATGCATTGATGTTGCTGCTCTGGGGGGACCTAGGGTTTCCTCCTAACAGCCCAGCTTTAGTGAATGATCCTGGATTTAAGTGATTCATTGATAACAGATAATAATGTTGTGGGTCACACATTGGTTTTTTACATATTAAATAAATACTGTAAAACAATATAAAAAAGTTAATTTAAGACCTTGTGTGTGTGTGTGTGTGTGTATGTGTGTGTGTGTGTGTGTGTGTGTGTGTGTGTATGTGTGTGTGTGTGTGTGTGTAAATTCTATCTCTGAACAAAATGCATAACATGTTGTACTGTTTCAGTGTCGGTTTCTTACAAATAATTTTTAAAGGGAATGCTGATTGATATGCAGAAAAAACTGCATGTCTTATATGATGGACAGCAGAGCATATAGCACAGTATGATGATTAAATAAACTGTGTATTAACACCCCATTTTAGAATTCATCCCAGATATGGAATTCGGATTTATGAAGCGTTGTAAAATCAACTAACGTTTGGGACTTTGTAGCATTTCCTCAGTGACAGACAGAAACGTTTTGTACAGAACAAAATCTAGACAATAAGGAAGCAAATAGAGGCCATTGGCGACTTATATTTTAGGGAAGATCTGAGCCATGACAACTTTCACTTTAAAATATGGTTTCTGGAGAAGATCTTGAATGTCTCGAAACGTTGATTAATAATAAGATTTTCATAGAATAAACGTTCCTACACCTCACTATTCCAAGTAATAACCTTAATTAGTAACTACAATGCCCCCATTAAAAACGAATTAACGAAGTAAACGAAATGAACACTTAATTCGAAAACATTTTAAACATTTATTAAATAGAAAACGATTCAAGTGTTAGAAAAATAAATTATCTGCATATCTTCCAAAAAAATGAAAAATACTGATATGAAATTAGATCGATTTTAGTTCATACAAAGGTGCTGTCATTGCATATACTTCAATTAAATTATATAAATTACACATTCAGATTTTTGTTTTCTAAACAAAATAGTAATAAATATATAAATATCGAGCTGATTGCCATCCGTGTGATAAAGATTATACATTAGATTGGAGTCTATAAATATTTACACATATATATACACATTATTTACACACATGGAATATTGCATATCCAGTATTCACAGGTCTAGAATCAGCGTCATAGGGGGCTCATTTTCGATGTTGCTGAAGGAAGATTTGTTTAATTTCCTGGGGTCTTCTGGGGTCCACACTTTAGCAGTTCTGATAACGTTTTGATCTTTGAGTTGTTTTTCATCAGTCCATGACAGGGAATGTCCAGTGAGAGGAGGGAGCCCATAATCTGGGTCACTGGGAGACGGAGATCCTGGGGAGGAGAAGACAATATTTTAATTCTCTCTATTTGAATAGCTTAATAACTGCCTGTCACAATAAGTAAGTAGTTGTAGTTACAGCGGTGCAACTACTCAGATTAGGAATATTTTAGTTTGTTATATTTTGAACTTGTTTCTATTCTGTGATTTAAATGATGTCCCTGGTCCCTAGTTTAAGACGTTACACAGTGTATATACATTGTCAAAGCTGGAGATGTTTTGCGTGGAATTACTAACTTTGGCGCAATCACCATGGAAACTAATGGACATTTTGTAGCTAATTTCCTGGCTAATTTCAGGGATTTAATATGAATGAACCCTTTGCTCTGACCAGGAGCACATTGTTCTATAGGGTTACAATACAGTGCCCCTCGCTAGGCTGATCCAGGATACACTGCCTGCATGGTTATATTATAGTTAGTATCACAATGATCCCAATTAGTTAAACATAATTACTTAATAATGACTTCATTAAGGTGAATGCGAGTTATCATGGTGCACTAAGAAAATAAAATGATACTTGATACTGGATCAGAACCGATTAGACACGGACTATGTTAGAGCGATGCTGAGAATTCCAAAGAATCACTATGTGTAGAGTTCTCATGGCATGCGGTAGGTGTTCCTATTACACAAAGTGACTGCATGCTGCATCCTCCTCAGGAGGTCTACAAGGTAAGTCAGTGCACTGCAGCAACTCCGGGGCCCCAATAAATCACCCAGGACAGGTAATAGTAACAGGCTAGCCAGGGAATTCACCATACACCCTTTTTCAGTGCAGGTAGGTAAGTACTAACATGCTTTCTATGAGTCGCTATACCCCACCCCAATGCAGACAGGTAGTAACAGTCTGGCTGTGGTTCAGGAGACTCACTATACTCCGTCCCAGTGCAGGTAGGTAGGAACAGACTATCCATGGGTCAGGAGGCTCACTATGCCCCATTCTAATGCAGGTAGGTAGGTAGATAGGTAGTAACAGACCATCAATGGGTCAGGAGGCTCACTATGCCCCATTCTAATGCAGGTAGGTAGGTAGTAACAGATTATCCATGGGTGAGGAGGCTCACTATACCCCATCCCAATGCATGTAGGTAGTAACAGACTATCCCTGGGTCAGGATACTTACTGGTGCTCCTGTGACAGATTATGACTTTCTTGGGTTGGTGCGGACTCTCGGTGTTGGTGTTCCTCAGTGGGAGGTCAGACTGGACCAGCTCGCTCAGAAAGTTGATGTAGCCGATGGCCAGGCGCAGGGTGTCCACCTTGGACAGTCTCTTCTCGTAGGGCAAGGTGGGGATGTGGGACCTCAGACCTTCAAAGGCATCATTGATGGACTGCATCCTCCGCCGCTCCCTCACATTGGCCGCCTGTCTAAGCTGCTGCATTTCTACATCAGACCTCATCCTCTTCCTCCGCTTCATTCCCGAGCTGCCCTCCTTCATCCCTGGGGACAGCTCGCAGGACCCCTCCCCGCAGCCATATGGAAAGCCCCCCGACGAGGAGGAGGAGGAGGAAGAGAAGGAGAAGTTGCCTGGGTCTCCATAGTCTTCTCCATGCATGACCCGGCTGTCCTTGTAGTACTCCTGGATCTGGCCGGTCAGGAAGTCCACATCGTCATCTAAGAAGTCCTCAGCGTCCAGGTGGTCCCTGGAGGACTGGTCAGTGAAGAAATCCTCTTCATCAAAGTAAGGAGAAGGAAAGGACTCCAAGCCGGTAAACTGCTCCAGAACTGAGTCCATGTTCCCCCTCTGGCGTGATGGTGGCCCCAGTGACAGCAGTGGTCCTGGTCTCCTGTGGTCCCTTTGCAGGTTGAGGACTTGATGAAGTTCCAGCCAGGCACGCGAGGAGTCTTATAAAGTACATGGACAGGCGCGTGCCATTGCCTAAATCAAGGAGCCAATCAGAAGTCTGCACCCCTTCCTCAATGACCCCCCTCCTTTTCCCCTCCCTTCCCAGGACTTCCATACACCTCCATGTGATGCGATTGGGAGGCAGACACTGCCACTCCCCCCTCCCATTCACACAGGTAGCTGGGGATCGGACTCCCAGCTGCTCTCCCCACTTGTATCTCCCCCCCCCTCACCCCCCCATAAGTGGGGGTCAAGAAGAAAGAGGTCAGTCAGTCGTTGCCTGTATGGGACCCAGGACAATGAGCACACTCGCTCTGCACAAATCATAATGTCACTAAATAAAGGCTCTTCAACCAGTACTACTGTGCACAGCCACAGGCTCAGAGCCCAGGGACCAGCAGCCATTAGGAATACTTGCCATGTATTCCCTGTAAGCCTCTCATGGCTACAAACTGTCTAACAGGCAGAGACTGTCACATTGAGCTGATTGGAGAATTGTTTCAATTTACAGGACAGGGAACAGATTCACAACACAGAATGGCTCCTCTAAGAGATGGGGAAACTGGAATTAAACTGACTGACACTATAGGAAACTGTCAGAATGTTGATACTTTGTAAGAGGTTTATAGAACACTTTGCTAACAGTCTTAAAATAAGAAACAAACACCTGCTCCAGTCATTTCATTTAATAGAAATATTTTAATAATTGTCAGCAGTACAGATCTAAATATACATATATCTCAATCAGACACTGCAGATCTGTAAACAGTGATACTGTATAGTATGAAATATATATATACTATAAAACGTGTACGGTGGATTGTGATGGTGCTTTGCATTTTAATATAAATTAATGTCATATGATAAAAGGGGTGTATCAACATACATTACAACGATTTACAGCTATTTAGAATGTGACATTGCAGTGCCTGAACCATACAGGATATATTTATACTGAACTAAAACAGGACAAATTGGGGCCAATGATTTAAAGACATAAAACACTTTATTCCAAGTTATTGCAACAGAGAACAGTGTATTGCATTATTGTTTAATAGGACAATTAGAATAATTCTTAGGTTTATAGATGAGAATATTATAACACACAGTACGATGTACTGGGAAATGAGAACATATGACATGTCTATATAATAAGGCAAATAAAATCTTATACAGGATTATGACATATAAGGAGGACAGACTATAATATACACAAATATTAAATGGGTTATAGCTCTGGACAATTTAATAAGCACAGCACAGAACATGCATAACGTTACAAAATACTTCAACGTTTAATAATAGAATGTATCAGACTATAGTGCAATACAGAACAATGTAATAAATACAATGCAATACATAGTATATCATATTGAAGAATAGTACACATCGACTAGTAATTAACAATACACACTATACAGTATAACAAAGAGGGCAGTGTAGCACATGATATGTAGCATATTTAATAATATTTTAGCGAATATATAAGAGAGGGTATTATAGCACAACAGAGACTAAGCAACATGTAACAAAACATTGGATTAAAATATGGAGAAATATGGAGTAAAATATGCATTGACATCATAAACAATATATTATATAAATTATAATCTAGGGCTCTAAAATTCATTACAACATTGAATACACAGCATATTAGGGACAAGACATTACTATATTGGTTAGGGCATTACAATATCATATAATATATACAGCATATTACAGAAAGAGAATTCTAAACTGTAATTATTATAGAATACATATTACAGACAGAATTATATTAGAATATTGTATAATGTAATATACACAGCATGCCACAGAAAGAGAACTCTAATCTAGATCTAATCTGTAATTATTATAGAATACATATTACAGACAGAATTATATTGGAAATATCGTATAATGTAATATACACAGCATGCCACAGAGAGAGAACTCTAATCTAGATTATTACAGACAGCATTATATTAGAATATCGTATAATGTAATGTACACAGCATATTACAGTCAGAGCATTATAACAGAGTGCATTACATTACCGTGTGATATAAGACACAGCATATTACAGACAGAGCATTTACCATAAAGGGCAATAAATTACCATATAATATGGACACAGCAAAGTAGAGAGTGTTATAATACAGGGCTCTAAGACATCTTTTAGCATGGAATATACAGCATGTTATTATTTAATCACATAATAATAAATTATAGCACAATACAGAACATACAGTGTGTGTGATAACTTCATGTAAACAGAATATGCAACATGTTAAAGAATGTTACACTGTATAATTAATGGATTGAAAACTATAAACACGATTTGTGCTCAACTAAAAGAAACAACGTTGAACTAGTAGTGTCTGTCTGTGATAATAATCTATGCCAGGCTGTGTCTGCAATAGAAAATTGTGCCAGGCTATATCTGTGATAATTTATGCCAGGCTATATCTGTAATGATAAACTGTGCCAGGCTATATCTGTTATATTAAACTGTGCCAGGCTATATCTGTAATAATAAACCGTGCCAGGCTATGTCTGTTATATTAAACTGTGCCAGGCTATATCTGTAATAATAAATTGTGCCAGGCTACGTCAGTTATAATTAACTGTGCCAGTCTATATCTGTGATAATAAATTGTGCCAGGCTATGTCTGTGATATTAAACTGTGCCAGGCTACGTCGGTTATAATTAACTGTGCCAGTCTATAGCTGTGATAAACTGTGCCAGGCTATGTCTGTGATATTAATCTGTGCCAGGCTATATCTGTAATTTTAAACTCTGCCAGGCTATGTCTGTAATAATAAACCGTGCCAGGCTATATCTGTGATAATAAACTATACCAGGCTATATCTGTGATATTAACCCCTTAAGGACACATGACATGTGTGACATGTCATGATTCCCTTTTATTCCAGAAGTTTGGTCCTTAAGGGGTTAAACTGTGCCAGGCTATGTCTGTGATAATAAACTATGCCAGGCTATGTCTGTCATATTAAACTGTGCCAGGCTATGTCTGTGATAATAAACTATACCAGACTATATCTGTGATATTAAACTGTGCCAGGCTATGTCTCTGATAATAAACTATGCCAGGCTATGTCTGTCATATTAAACTGTGCCAGGCTATGTCTGTGATAATAAACTATGCCAGGCTATGTCTGTCATATGAAACTGTGCCAGGCTATGTCTGTAATAATAATCTATGTCAGGCTATATCTGTGATAAACTATGCCAGGCTATATATGTGATGTTAATCTGTGCCAGGCTATGCCTGTGATAATAAACTGTACCAGGATATATCTGTAATAATAAACTGTGCCAGACTATATCTGTGATAATAAACTGTGCCAGGCTATATCTGTAATAATAAACTGTGCCAGTTGTCATCAATATTAAACGGTGCCAGACTATATCTGTAATAATAAACGATGCCAGGCCATGTCTGTTATGTTAAACTGTGCCAGACTACATATGTGATAATAAATAGTGCCCGACTATGCTTGGTATATTAAATAGTGCCAGGCTATATCTTTGATATTAAATAGTGCCAGGCTATCTGATATGTTAGACTGTGCCAGGCTTGTATGCCCCATCATGAAGACGTAGATTTAATGATTGGCATGCAGATTTCTATGCACATTTTAGGAGAAGCTGATGTGTAAACATGACCTTGGCACTAAACGAGATGACCCCTTATTAACTGCATGGAAGAGACCACTTTATTAACCTCTGTCTGCCCCCACTAGTCTGAAAAACCTGAGATTTGTAAACAATTGACCTTAATGACTGTCAGCACTAACATAGCCCATTCTAGATAAAGGAAGGGGAATTGTCATCAATCAACAAGTAGCATTCTGTGTTCAGGACTGGGCTGTCTGCAGTGAGGATGGTGGCCAGGCAGAGGCTGCTGTGACAAGGACATTATTATCTGGGCTGACCTTTGTCCTGTCACAGTCATGTTTCTCCAATAGGTATCACCTACAGAGAGGGAAACAAACATTGGGCACTAAGGGCTAACTGTTCAAGACTTGCATCAATCCTAGATATTTCAACATTCCCTCTTCCAGTCACTGACACATTTCTGTTTGGTCTGTTCTGTGTTTCTATTTGTCCAAGTAGGACTGTTTATGCATTAATATTGCCTTAAACACATGCTTACTGTGTGTACATTAATGGCAATGCATGCTAGTATAGTGTGTGTAAAGGTGTGTGCTTTCACACATTACCAGCCTTTTCTTATTATAAATTGTTGTCAATGCTTCAGGTTATATTTAATATTGATATATTTGCCTACACAGACACACAATATTATAATGTGTCAAATGGTAAAGTAGTACTGTCTGGTCACTAACATGTTAAATGCCCTGTAAATTAGATGAGAGGTTAACCCTTTTGGTTCCATAATATTTTTGAATAAGAACTTCCTTTTCCAGAATTCCTTTTGATTCATACTATATTTCAATTTTAGAATTATGTTTCAATTAGAGAATGGCTCCCTGATCTGGTTTTACAATTTATTGATTATTGTGTAGTCTGTGAGGATACTATCAGCCATCAATGACTTATGTGACTGAGTGGGTTTATTACATACAATAATTATAAGAAAAAGTAGATTCATAAAGATTCATGTAAAAAAAATGCAGTAACATCTGTTAATTTGGGATCCCTTTGTGGTTTTATTTATTTATGTATTTCTTTATTTATTTTCTTTGTATTGATTCATTTCTTCCTGCACCTTTTACAGCAAGGGCAGTGCTTTTCCTGCGCAGCTCAACAGTATGTACCCTGCTGATAATTCAGTGCTGATGCAATTATTACAACATACAGATTATTCTTACCCTTAAAACTGGAAAATTTTCTCGGTCCCCACCTGCTCCACAACTCCAGGAAACAAAAAGTACGCAATAGTTTAGTAAATAAGGAGATGATGCAACGCGTGTATTTTCTTCAATAAATGACTAAGATTACGTTTGAATATAATATGACAGCAACAGCTCTGATATGCAATGCTCCCAGCTCTCTCGGTCACAATGTGCTCCTCAA